GGAGGCCGGAAACAGGGTTCCTTGTTGGCTGACCTCATTAGAGAAAACCCACAAGTATTTTCAAGGAACCACAATAGCCATGCCCTTCTCCGTATTATTCTAATAAGTACAAAAAAACTTCTGAAAGATATTACTAATGCTCTACTTCAAAAAATACCCTCTTATGTATATCATCTAATCCACATCAGCATAAAAAGCAATAGTCAAAAGCTATATTTCTGACATAATTTTAAAAATAACAACAGGCAATTGATAATTTTTCCTTTTTTAATTTACAAAAAAAATTACCAGAATTTACATTTATAATTCCAATGGTTATTACTTAAGAAAAAGTTAAAACACACAGCAGACCAAAACTAAAAAGTGTATCCCAAGGGAACTTAAACAGTAGAAGGGTGGAGAATAAGTAAGGCTGAAGTTAACTTGCCTTAGGCAAGACTCTTATCAATTTGTACTTGACCGCAGAAATGAATGTAAAGTTCCCTGATGAGATCATCCCACCCATGGATCCCTAAAGGAGGAATTGGGAAGTAGTTTACAAAATCAACTATACAGCACATTTAGCTCAGTACAGTTTGAGAACTAAGATTTAAAGAGAATATAAATTTGCAGTATTTATAAACATTTCCTGTATAGTCTAGAGCAACCAGGTTCCGCTTAGCCAGGGGTCTTTGGCGTACTTTCCCATCTAATTATGTACAATATACAAAAAAAATACATTGTATGGAATGAATTAGAACCAGCCTGAAGAAATAAGACCAATACATACAAAAAGATTCCATGGTGCAAGTATAAATAAAATATTATTTATGCAGGAAGAACCACGAAAGCTTTAGAAAATGCATGGGTTGAATTTGGTGGAGGGACCAGTGTAAAACAATGACAGAGGCCAGCTAATACATGGACTTATAGGAAGAAAGTGGTTGAAATAAATCATCAGAAATTCAATGATCAGAATATAGCATTTGGAACCAGAGTGCAAATGCCTTGCATACTACACCATAAGGGATTTCAGCTTTATTTTGCATATACTACAGTTTATGAATAAAGGGAGATGAAGAAAGAAAGGTTTAAATTAGGAATATTAATCTCACATAATGGTTAAAATGTCAAATAAGGGAAAAATAGTCCAAAAAGTTACTGAATTTAATTACAGAAATAGTTTATCAGACAGGGATCATTATAAAAACTTACGTCCACCCAACCTGTAGTAGAGGTAAATCATACTTTTCTTTTTTAAAAAAGGAGAGACAGATTTCACCTACCATAATACTCCAAGTATATTCCCCAAAGTAAACATCAGCCAGCAACGATGATTCCACATTCCCTCAATCAATTTCTACTGCCTCTCACAGCTTGAGCATCACAAGTCTAGTATTAAACATATGTATACTTTTCATACCCTAGCTGTAAGTACACCACCTCATCAAGCACTCAACCAAAGAAAACAGTAACCTGCTCTAGCACTGGAGGAAAAACTGGCTGTGTTAGATTGGATGAAAGACAATACTATACTGTACTTTATGTGCTATTTAAGAAACTGTATAGAATAATTTTGGCTCCATTTTTGCTTCACATATTGACTTTAAAACTAATCCCTACTTAATAATGCCTTTTCTCTTCCTCATTTTAAGCATATCAAACATATTGGAGGCAGTGCAACAGAGGTTTAGTTCAAAACAATTATTTGAGGGCAAAAAAATTCCTAAAAATAGTGAACTGTTTCAGGAAGCTAAAACCACGCAAATAAGAACAACATCTCTGAGGCTGAGTAAGGTGACAGAAAGCATGAGCACGAAGTGCAAGACACCTGTCATCCACGGAGCTTTTCAGTAGAAAAATAACGGTCAGGCTGGAAGGCAGCCATAAAGATCTTATAAGCCTATCTTTTTATTTTCCACATAGCCAATAAAATCCCTTCTCCCTGAGTCAATATTCTGAAGTAGTACTATAAAATTATGCAAACCTATTTATTAAAATGTCTTTTATATCAGATTAACACTTGCTAAAAATCAGACTAACATAATTTCTGCAACAGAAATGTTTTTACTTTTAAAGTACAAATTTTACAAGTACAAACTTGTGTTGTGTCTGCTTTGCCTAACTGGTGAAGTATTTCCCAGTCATGTGTTTATTTACCCAATACCTACTGAGCACCTACTATGTGGCAGGCACTGTGCTTGATGCTGCAAGTACAAAAGTGGAATAAAATATAATCCTCATTCCCTTCAAAGAGTTTATAATCTAATAAGGGAAAAAGACTAAATTAGTATAATCATGTTATAATCAAAGTATACACAGATTACCACAGAGGCAAAAAGGGGGGTCAGGCAATGCTTTTTCAACTATTAAAATGAATTTGGAAGTCAGGTAAAAGTTAAAAGCTGTGCTTCCTAAACTTGACAGTGTATCAGAACCACCTTTAGAGCTGATGTCCGGATCTCACTGCATATTTAATAAACCTTCCACCTCTGGAATCTTCAGAGGCGAAGCTGAGAAATCAGCATTTCCAATGTGCACCACGCGTGATTCACAGTCACAGCCAGGTTTGAGCAGTACTGAGCTAGAAGTATAAACAACCATTCCGGGCAGAGAGAACAGCTCAGTGCGGTTAGAGAACGTGAAAGGCAGACAGAAGGTCAGAGAGAAATCAGAACAAAAGTAGCCACATGACTAATGTGACATTTCAAACAGGATCTATGGAACTGGATCTATGGAACAGGATCTATGGAACAGGATCTATTCATGATGTGAGCTTTCACAACATAAATCACACGTGACATGCATTTTAGTAAGTGACTTCTGACATGAACTAAATCCTCACTGAAAGGTATGAGAAAGCTAAATGCAAATATTTCGCATTTCAAAACAAAGGTAAAATGCTCCTTTAAAAAAGCAAACCAATAGAGTTTGACTCATAATTGTCATTAAATAATTGACCATCATTTTTCTCAGGATACATACTGCAATGACAGTAGTTATAATAATGCTGTTTTACCTTGAAAAGATTCCATAATGCATAACATAAATTCAAACCCTATTTTGAAATTCACTATTCTTAATGATTTTAAGTTTCCAAGCTGTTATTTCATAATAATTTCTTATTTTCTGAATAGAAATTTACTTATATTTTTATACTTAATTCTGGGTAGAAGTAAAGTGGGACAAGTCACCAGTGAGAGGAGTATTCACCATAATACGTGAAAAGCCAAATCGACTTTTTTCTTTGATTTCTGTTTGTTAAATATCAAACTGTTTAAATGCCCAACTCATTTCCCAACAAAGATTTTATAAACAGAGATACAGACAGGCAATCATTTGAAACAATAAACTTTTAAACAATATTTTTCAGAAACCTAGGGACAAACCTACTAATTATAATATATAAAATACATCCTATAGTTATATTCTACTCCTAAAAAGTTCATCTAAAACTTACTTCCACCACTTAAATATTTCCTAATGACTTACAGAGCAAACAAAGATTCAGTTACCACAATGAAAACTATTGCCAAATCATACACAGGAGCACCCTGGAGGAGCGCATATCGTATAGAAGCATCAAGAATTAAAAACCAAAGGATTAACCATATGACCTACTTAAAGAGAACCAACTAGCAAATCATAACTGGCTAATTACAAGAATAACACCTGTATACTTGATATAACAAATCATCCTTTTTCAGACTAAATTTAGTGTACTTCTTTAAAAATGGTAGTATTATAGAGCTACCTTATTTTCTACTTAAAATACAGGAATTACATTATAGTTCCTGTCAGCTTTTCAGGCTAAAATGATATATTTACATGGAAGAGCATTTTGTTTCCTGAGTCATTCGCTGCTGTTCTGCTCCTGCTGCACTTTCCACATTGTTCTATTTGCTTTCATTGCAAGTACCTGAATTCTGCAAAAAGGTACTATTATCACCACATAACAGCTGAGGAAACAGGCTTAGCATGGCCAAATGACTTAACCAAAATCACCACTAAACCCAGACTTCAAGTTCAGATTTGTCTGACTGCTGAGTTCTTTTCACACTGCCTCACAGGTAAAGAGGAACATAGGACTAAATAAATCAAAGTTAACTGAACTGACTTCCCTTCCTTCTATAACTGCTTTGGTGGTAGCAAAAACAGATCTATCATATCTGAAAACCAAATGCAGAGGACATGTATCTGAGGGTGGAGGTGTGGAGGTCTTGCTTAGTACCTGAAGTCCCACATGGAATTTGGAAATATCCTACTTCATGAGTCCTCACAGAAGGCAGAGCCACTTCCCTACAAAGAAGCTGGCAATGCCACACAGTTGTTCTTCCCATTACTCCCTCCAACCGCCCCCACCCCAGCCCCCAACATGAGCACTTACGCTGTGCTCTGCCAATGACATCCCTCCAAGGGCTTTAAATTAAGAGCTACAGACTGTAAGAAGCAGGGACAGGAAAGGTTGGATTTTGATAGTAGGCAACAGTACCAACATTAAGTTTCCAAAGTCAATGGCAGGAGCAAAGCAGTAGCTGAGTGCAGATTTCAACAATTCACACTGCATTACTGTCACTGGGCTGGTTTTAGGTCAGGATTTTTAGGTATGTCTTCTCCGCAACCTAGACTTCCTTGTTGTGACTACTTAAAGCTACACCTTCCCATCAGTTTGGTGTACTAATCAATATGCTTTCAGTAAATTCCTTTTCCACTTGAATTAGTCAGAATTGTACTCTGTTGTCTGCAATTAAAAACACATAGTAAGGCACTTAATGATTAAAGAAATGATACTAAACATTCATACTTTATCAAATTGTTTTACCTTAGTACTGATTGATGTTATATAATTTGCCTTTCTCTAGCAAGTTACCTTGTATACGATGGCACATTCTAACCACAATAAAAAAATTTCGAGTTTCCTTATCTTTTTCAGAAGTAACACAAAAATGCAAATATAATAATAATCATTTAAGGGTGATTTTCACTAAGGTTCAGAGTTAAGCTTTATTAAGAATTCTTACCTGTCAGGAATACCTAGCCGCTTCACACTTCTATAAACAGAAAGAGTATTTGCAACATGTCGATAATTAAACCAGAATCTGGATGTACACACCTAAAGTATTAAAGCAAATGTATTATTTTTATGAATAAAAAAAAAAGCCATGAAGTTACACAACTATTTCTCTTTAGATAGGACACAGATATGCCTAAAGAAAGAGTACATCATAATTTGGGCTTAGAAACAGTAAGGACATAAAGAATTGCCAAAAAATACAAGCTCTCTAGAAAGAGGTCTTTCATAACTAGTATTAAATAAAAAGACCACTCAGCTTAAGAGAAAACAAATCTTTGGGAAATTCAATCAAAGAGAAAACCAACTCAGTTACCCTCAATTTATGTGACTCTATAATGTTCCTGTTTCTAAAAGATTAAATCCTTTAAAATCAAAGACAGTGTACATAAAATCTCTTCAGAGGATAGGAAAAAATTGGCCGCCTTGGGTTATATAATATTCCTTTTACTCTGGAATTCTTCCTAATTTTAGTTGTAAAAAATGTAAAATACAGACTAAAACAACAACATACAAAATAGTTTTTATGTACTTAAGAGAATGCATTATAAAGCTGTTGAACTGAACAGAAAACCAGAAAAAAATTACACTACTTTTATACTTAGAAAAACCTCACTAGTAGAATGTTTTGCAATTATTTTTTCTATTGATATAGTAAATTCAAGCTCTAAAGTGACCCAAAATGGCATTTCAAAAAATAAACAAAGAAACATTCCTAAAAATTATATCAAAGGTACCAGAAAAATCTAATATCATGCCTCAAAAGTCAGCCCTCTTGAGAATCCCTTCCACAAGGGGCAACAGAGATTGGGGTCGGGAACCTGACTTCCTGTTCCTACCTCCTTCACGCTCCCACTGTGTGAAGGTATAATAGTATGATTCCCAGTTATATAAAATCATCTATCTTTATGCTTATATGTGAAGAGAGAACAGTATTCACCAAAATGTTGATTCTAGCATGTGGGACTTGAAGATATTTTTCCTGTCCTTTTTCAGTTGAGGTGAAATTCACATAAAGTAAAATTAATCTTGTCTTCTAAACTTTTCTGTATAATTTGAATTTTCTACAATGATCATATAGTTTTGTAAAGAGAAAAAAATCTTTAATAAAAATAAAATAGCCTAAGTAGAGAGTATCTATAAACTAATATGATAAATAAGAAATACAACTACTAGTTTCTATCATTAAAATAACTTCATTTTACATAATTCTTCCTTTAAAAATAGTACCCCTACTTTATTGTTACAGTTATTAACACATTACCACTTGACAGATATATGAAGGCAAGGAATATTACTAGTTGATATGGTCAATTTAACGTATAGCAAATCAAAATAAAGAATATAATTTTTATTTTCAAAACAATTGACCCACACAAAAATTTCTCAGACACCTGTCTAAGGTGAACAGCATGGTACACCTTTATAGAACATACTTACCAAAACAGCCCAGTTGTTTGTGTGGCCACTTCTAAAGAACTGTTCTGCTTGATCCTATCAGTCAAATAACACCAAAGATTAGAAGAAAGCCACATTTCCCAGAATAAAGACTGATAAAGAACAGGTGAGATTAATGGAGTTTTTATAGTTGTAATAACAGTAAGTCGTCATTATGCCGGGTTATAAAGATTCTAGTTTTGGACCTCATGAAGGACCAAGAAAGAGCTTTATGTTTTGTTAGGGGGGATTTCCTGGGGCAGGGTCTGTTTGTTTTTAAACAATTTGTCCCAGTCATCTCTTTCTTACATGCTTCTAATTTTCCATTCAGTCTTCAAATTGTAACTGATATATTACTTTGATTATATACATAACAATACCACCCCAGCTGAAATTTCATTCAATATTTATTCTTACTTTGTGGGGTGCTTCCAATTTCTTTATTTAAACTCACCAATATATTTGATTGAGTACATTATCTAGCATACAGCCATGTACCATTCCACTAATATGCTAAAGTGAGTATGAATTATATTTGCTGGCATGGAACATTAAAAACCTCAGCATTCAGATACCTAATTAACATGATTTTTTATTATGTACAACAATAATAATGAATATAAACCATAATGACCTCAGATCTGCTCCTAAGCAGTATTAATTTACTAGACCAGTCAAACCGCCTGCATTCAAATCTGGGTCCGATTACTGACTACCTGTAGAAACTCGGGAAAGCTGCTTCACTTCTCTCTGCCTCCACCTCCCCATCTATAAAACAGTAATGTTATCTGACTCACAGAATGTGGAAATGGTGACTGGAACCTAGTCATTGAGTAACAAATGTTAGCTCTTTTCTTTTCAGCTGGCAATAAAATTTCAGGGAGAATGAAATTAAAAATTCACTCGAATGTGTGTATACATCTAGACATATACACACTTTTTTAAAACCTTTTTCAACAACCTAGATGCTTTAAAAAAACAATATAAAATAGTGGGTAAAGTACTGGTTTAGAAATGTGAAGATCTGGGTTTTAGCCCAGGTCATATCCCTCGCATGGCTGTGAGACTTTGGTTAGTCATTTAGCTCTTCAAACTTGACTTTTCTCATGTGGAAAATGAGAGCTGAATATACTTTCTAGCTCCTAAATTCTTACATCATTAGAACTTGATTGAAAAATGTGAGATGGCAAAACTCTTTTGTGATTGATTAGACAATACAGGCACTGTAAAGTTATTCATTCTACAGATAGTTGGTATCTGGTACTTCGTATGTGCCAGATACCATGTATCATACAGTGATAACAAAAGTCATTGAAAAGCTTGCTGCTTTCTCTCAATCCTAGAGTGCAATAGAGAACACAAGGATGCAAATACATTACACTACAATGTAACATTCATTCATTCATCACTTCATTGGGCCATATGTGCCAGTCACTGTCCTGAGTGCCCAGAATAGAATGACGGGCCAAAACAATCCTAGTACTTGCCCCCAAAGAGACCTGAAGCCGGCAGGGGGCAGGTGGAGTGTTAGGGAAGGTTTTCCTAAAGAAATGACAATTGGGTTAGGATCCAAAAAATGAAGAGAAGGGGAAAGATAGTTCCAGACAGAGGAAACATGGGCCCTAATGGCAGATGGGGCTTAAAGGTTTTGAGAAACTCAAAGATTAGCACAAGTAAAAGTCTCAGAGAGAAACAACTGGAGGTGTAGGCAAGGGCCAAAGTATGCAGGGCCTTGTTTATGGGTCAGAGTAGAGACTGAGTTCTTTACTCTTAAAGCAATAGTAAGATATACATAAGTGACCTGATCAGATTCCCATTTTTAAGTTACTATAGCTTCAGCTTGGAGATCAGACTGGAAGGAAGAAGAATGACTTGACATGGGCTAATTAGGGAGCTATTGCACTCCAAGTGAAAAATAATGGAATAGGTAATAAAAACCACAAATGGGTTATAATCAATGAGTGCTATACTACTAACTTATGTACAAATTACAACAGTAAAATCAAAGGAAAAGGGATAGGGAAAGGTTCTACAGAGGTTATACTTTTACTACATCTTAGTAAATGGGCAGAAGAAACAGATGTAAAACATGGTAATGTGAAAAAACACGGTAACAATCAAAAAAGGGAGGACAGGGGCAGATAATGGTATCCAAAATGAAGTATACAAAATAATCCACCGGACTAAAAGAGGAAAATAAACTTCCATTCATGTTTATATTATCTCACAAATATGCTTTGATACTGAATATATAAATTAGCAGTAATTCACGAATATAGAGTGGGTATGCTCAGCATCCTTTAAACTGGTGGAGATTGCATTTAAAGTTTGGAGTTCACTGATCTATGGGCAGGATGGGCTCCATCCAATATGAAGACTGGAAAAGCAGATTCTTGCATTACCTTTATTCTGTATGCAATGGGAAAGAACTGAAAAGATTCAATCAGAAGAATAACGTGATCATGTTCACATTTTATGAATACTAACCTAGCATCTAAGTGAAGGAGTTTGGAAGCCTGGGGGAAACAGCATAAAGTAATTGCAGTAGGATAGGCAAAAAATGGCCAGACCTCCATTAAGCCAGTGGGATTAAGTAGGTAAAAGCAATTTTAAAAGTTCAGAACACCGAATTTAGTTTTGATTAAAAAGTGGGGCAAAGAGAGTTGCTTATTTTTTAAACCGCAGGTTTCTAGCCTAGGAGCAACCCCATAGGAAATGGGATAGGCAGAAGATAAAACTTCGGACACAGATTTTCAAATGTCTGGACCACACAGACCCCTTAACCAGCTTGAAATGCAGGCCTGAAAATGATCCTCGAGATGCAGACTGTAGAACAAGACTGAGGTCTTATCAAAGCACAGGGCACAAGGTTTTACGAAAGGGGTGAACGCGACAGGAGCCGCGCCCTCCTGACTCCAACCAAAGCGGAGAGCTGTGGTTTAACAGCAGAAAGGAAGCCCGTGTGCTCACGTTTCACCTGCTAGGGGGCAAGCACTCGTCGGCGCAGAGACTCAGGACCTCCCCGTCCCCACAATTTGATTCTTTTCATCCACCGTTTGAAAAGGCTGAGACAGACCGACAGAGTCCTACCCCGTCCCCTGTGACACCCTCCCCACAGTCCAGTGGGCCTCGGAAAAGGCTAACGACTCCGGGAAGCTTCCCCGCCGGAGGTGTACCGGACATCTCTGCGCGCTCACAGCCACGAGGAAGGGCCGGGGAGCAACGAGGGCCTAACTCCTACCTCGGTCTGCTTAGTGGCCCAGCTGCCGAAGGACAGGAGCAACAACCCTGCCAGGGCAGTCACACCCCTGAAGAAAATGCAGGTGGCACCCATATTGGCAGGCTTGAGCCTCCCGCACCTGAAGGGGGCGGAGCAAGTGCCGTAAAGCAGCTCGAAGGGTTTTACGGAGTTGTTTTTGGCTTTGCGACATCAGCCCAACCTCCTAGAGGCCCGACAGTTGCCAGCGATTACAAAGTAAGCGGATGGGGGAGTTGGAATTTCTCAGGTAGCTGGTGAAGATTGAGGGCATTGGTCCTTCATCTTTACTGCGTTTTCAGTTTTTGCATTATAAAATAGTTACGTTGAAAAAATTTTTGAAAGGTGAGTAAGAAAAACCTGTGACCCCCATAAACTTACGAAGCTAATTCCTTTTTTGAGTAGGGCCGCTGATTCTTTGAATATATGAAGCAGGAATGCGGGAAGAGCAAGTCTCTGGGCACAAAAAGATGGTTGACTGCGTCAGTTGCAATTGGAAAGATAGGTGGGTGCTGCAACAGGTTTGGGGTCTATTACTGAAAGTATGAACATGTAGAAATTAGTTATATGTTTTCTTCCGTAATTGTGGTGCTAAAACTCTTCTCAAAGACAGCCTGAGGATCTAATAAGACCATGTATGTTTGTTCAATTATGTTTATTATATGCATTCAATTTTAAATTCTGTTTCAATTAGCATGGCATAAACATGTGTGTATGTTATGTTGAGGCAAGAAAAAACAAACCTGATCCAAACCTGTAAAAATTTTTTATTTTATTTGAGCCAAACTGATGACAATTGCCAAGAAGCAAAATCTCGACAGATTGAGAAAATGCTCTGGAGAGTGGCAGTTTTGCCCTTTCTACTTTGGAACAGCGATGAAGGCAATGGCAGGGTGAGGAGGTGTGGAGAGGAGTGAAGGCACTCAGAAGTTACAAACCATAAACCTCCACTTATAAGATAAATAAATCCTGGAAGTGTAGTGTACGGCATAGTGTCCGTAGTTAACAATATTGTATGCAGTAGGTCCCCTTTATTCATGGTTTTGCTTTTCCCAGCTTCAGTTACCCATGGTCAGTCACAATCCAAAAATAGTAAAATGACAAATTCCAGAAATAAGCAACTCATAAATTTTAAATTGCATACCATTCTGAAGGACGAAATGTCATGGTGTCCCACTTCATCCCACAAAGAACATGAATCATCGTTTGTCTGGGGTAACCACAGTGTAACTGCCCCCCACCTGTTAGTTGCTTGGTAGTTGCCTTTATGATCAAATCCACTGTTGGCAGCATCGCGGTGCTTGTGTTCAAGTAACCCATAGAGTAGATTAATGCTACATCACCGTGTCTGCTTCACTCATCTCATTGTATCTCATCCCAAGGGCACTGTATCATCTCACATCATCACAAGAAGGATGAGTACAGCACAATAGGGTGCTTTGAGAGAGAGAAGGGACACATTCACATAACTTTTACTACAATATACTGTTATAATTATTCTATTTTATTAGTTACTGTTGTTCATCTCTAACTGTGCCTAATTTACAAACTAACCTTTATCAAAGTTATGAATGCATAGGAAAAGAAGTGTATTTAGGGTTTAGTACTGTCTGTGGTTTCTGGGGGTCAGATAAGAGGAGACAATTACACAGTAAGTCCTCAATGTCATCAATAGGTTCTTGGACACTGACATTAAGCAAAATGATGTAAAAACAAGACTAACAATATCATAAGCCAATGATTCTCAACCTTTTTCATCTCATACCACATATAAACTAATTACTAAAAATCTTCAGCACACCAAAAAGTATATTTTTGCCAATTTGACAAAACTAGGTATAATTCTGATTGATTTACAAAAAAGGATAATCATAACTATCTACCCTTTTTGCTCCAAAGTTACTTTCTAAAAAAATCAGATTCCTAAAGGTATATAAGGATTTCTGCTACCAAAAATTAACCAATCAGACCCAACCTTATGATGCGACGTGACCAATAAGATGCATCTCTATTATATGGCTGATGTATTTATCATTCAAGACAGAGCATTCACACTGGAAAGCTATCGGTGTGTTGGCTATTGTCATTCTTTTAATTTTACAAAGGGAAAAGAGGTCAGTGCCTTTGACTAAATAGTCTGGTATTACGTTTTAGAAATTCTTACAGCACACCAGTTGAAAATCTATACCATAGGCTAATCAATATAAACAAGAGCTAAGTTCCTATGGCATATTTCTGGTGACAAATAACATCACCAAACTTCTTTGGAAGACCCAAAACACTTCAAATATTAAACATTGATACATTGTGAAATGTACATTCATTTAAGGAAGGCTACTAAAAACAAGTAGGATCATTACTTTCCCATCTGTTTATTCCAGTTCAGTTTGCAGGTGGCTGGACACCATCTGGGTGACTCAGTGCACGGCAGGAACCCACCATGGCCGGGATGCCCTTCCATTGCTGGGTGCACTCTCACCCACAACTCAGCCGGGGACAATACGGATGACATACCCCCCATGCACATCTTCAGAATGTGGGAGGAAACCAGAGTTCCCAGAGAACCCAGGCAGACATTAGGAGAACGTGCAGACTTCACACAGACAGCAGCCCCAGCCAGGAACTGATATTTTTCCCCTAATCAATGTTACAATGAACTGATGTTGAAGGAAGCAACTTTATTCAAGGACCTTCTGTATTTGAAAGTTGCTAAGAGAATAGATCTTAAATAGATCCTCATCACAAGAAAAAAATTGTAACTGTGGTAATGGCTATTAACTAAACTTATTGTTATAATCATTTTGCAATATATACATATATCAAATTATTACCTTGTACACCTAAAACTAACACAATGTTAATATCAATTTTATTTCAATTTTTAAAAAAGAATTGTTAACCAGAGTCAGCATTCAAACTATAATTCAATTTAATAATTCATTAAATGAATAATTGACTTAGCAACTAAAAGAGAAAATAAGCATTTGATCATCAGGTCAAAATTACACATCCCTACACAATCACGGCTTCTGTATTACAAGTTTTTATACCTGACCCTCACTGTAAATACACCATGAAGTCTATCCATGCTGTTTTTACTATTGTTCAGGTAACTACTCAGAGTGATTGTATTGACTCTAGTGTTAGATCACCGTTGAGTTTTGCTCTTTGCTTTTACCTGTGCCCCTGCTATATGTTCTTTTTCATTCTTTTTATCTCTCTCCTCCTTTCTGCACCACGGACACTACTGTGTTATTTACTAACTCAGTAGATATTTATTCAGCATTAATTATGTACCTTATATTGTCATAGTCACAGGCAATAGAAAAAAAGAGCAAACACTGAGCAAGTCCCTGCCCACAAGGAGCTTAGTGTCTAAGAGAGGCAGACATTAATAATAGAAGCATTCAAGCAAAATTAAAAGTCTAACAGGAAAGTTCCTAGTTGGGGACATACCCTTGTAAGAAAAACCAGAGTAGGTTTCCCTGAAAAACCAGATGGAGCTGAAATAAAGATGGCAGGGAGGGAAGAGCTTTTAAGGCAGAGGAAACAGCTCTTGCCAAGTACCTATGACAGAAGGGAGGCTGGCTTATCAGAAAACCACTTATGAATGACTTTGTGCTTTCAGTTCAAAGAACAGAAGAGACAGTGATGCAAGAAGAAACTGCATCGCCAAGCAGGTGCCACCTCCTTCCAAGTGTCCGGGTTCAAGTCATGGAACGCCTCAGAACGGTAAAGATCACGCTGGCGGGGATGAGGAGAATGGCTGCAGAGCATCTGGGAGGTCGTCGCTGCAGTCCAGACAGTGGTGGCCTGGACCAGTCTGGTAAGAGTGAAATGATGAAAAATGGAGAGAGCCAAAAAGGACTTTAAGATGACAACCTACAGAACATAGTGATGGGTTATATTTGGGAAGCAGAAGAGGGGACAATTTCAAGGATGACTTTTGGATAGCTGACTTGTACAACTGAATGTAGGTATGTTAATGCCATTTTTTAAAATCTAAGAATCACGGGAAGTAGACCAGGTTTAAGATTCAAATACAAGTGAAGTCAGGTTTCAATATTTACCCAAAGTAATTTCGAAAACAAACTTCCATAAATTTATTATAAATATGTTAGTGAGTACTAAGGAAATCTTGACACAAAATAAAATGAGTGGAAAAGATAAGTTTAATCAGGATCAGAACATGGCGCCAAAGAGAGATTTTACAATGCACTTAATGCTATAGGGTCATCGCTGCAGGCAAGTCTGTTTGCTACAAGAATCAGCACCATGAGTTTTCATGGAAACATTTCATATTTAACACTCAAAATGTTTCTTGGAGCAAGATAAAATTCAGTAAAAGGAAATTAGATGTATAATAAAATACAAATAGAAAAAATTAAAATAAAGCAAAGGGGCTTCCTTTCCAGTGTATTTGTATCATTTCCTAGTACTGATTTTAATATTGAACCTCCTTAAACTCCATGTCAGTTTGGCCTCTAATATTTTTCTTCCCTCCTTCCAGTAAGCCACTTAGTAATAGTTCAGTGTTGTGCTGTAATCAGTTTCCATCTCAGGACCTCCTCATTAGCTTCAGAGCTAGCTCATAATAACATTGCTACAGTGCTGGAGTAGAGCAGCTGCCCTACAAAATCTGATTTTTTGTAATCCTGTGTTGTCCCTAAGATGCCACAATGACCCAGACAGAAAGTCATGTTGCATGCCTTAGTGATGAAAACTTTAGTATCTCATTAGCGGTGTAGCCCTCCTTCATCAGTCAAGAAGCCACTGCTTCCATTGGCATAAAGCTAATTGATAGAGTTCAGTGCTCCATGAGCTGAGAATTTCCTACAAGTACAATTGATTTTATTGAATTGATTTTTATTCATCAGTATATATTGCTTTTACTCATCACGCATTTTATGAGATTCTCTGAAGTCCCAAGGACATTTACTAAATGTCGTAATTATCTCATGTTTTGTAAAGGGCGGGACATCCTGAAAGACCTCTCTTGGGAAGATGATGGAGTGGTACGTTTCATAGAAAATTGCTAGAAAGGTGTTGTGGTAGGCAGAAAAATGGCTCCCGAATTATGTAAATGTCTTAGTCCCTAGGACATGTAA